CCGCCCCCAATCAATTAGTGGGCTTAGTATTGTCGGAATTCATCTTCTTTCCCATAAGTAGAAATTGTATTGCTGTTTGACTAAGACTAGACAAAGTCCAGTAGCTATTAAGAACTCAGACTTTGAAGGTGCATTAGAAAAGTACTGGAGAGGATGCTTAATTAAAGACAAAGTAGTATGAAGCAAACGCTAGTATTCACTATGGAAGACAAATTTCACGTGCATGATGTAATAAATCAACACATGGTATATTAGGTCACAAATAATATGACAGAGTAATGTTCATTTAAGCGTCACATCGGATCAACTAAACGTGACACGATAGCATATATTACATGGAACTTGAGAATGAGGTTGATTAAAACATACACACACACACACACACACACACATATATATATATATATATATATATATATATAGCTATATCAGGAAATGCAAATCACCTTTTAAACATATTTGCTATTGATAGACTTGGGTTGAATTGAAATTAGCCTCATATCAAACAACCTTGATAAACATGTCATTTGCTAAACAGTCGTACCATTCTATGCACTCTTCTGCCTTTCTATGAGTTAGAGGTTTATGGTTCTGAGTGCAATGAGCGGTCGAATAAAAGTTATCTGTATTTCCCCTAGATACAACGCTGAATAATTAAAAGGATCTAGCTATCAATTACTCTCTCTCTCTCTCTCTCTCTCTCTTTCTATTATATGAATATAATGAAAGTAAAAATAATACGCAACCAATAGGTTAGAATTTTACGCAGACCGTGATTTGTTTATGTTTACTTCACAACGGTGATTCAGGCTTTCGTTAAGTAAGCAATCGACCTTGGGCTGAATTTCAATTCGCATATATATATATATATATATATATATATATATATATGTTTCAAATCAGAAATAAAGGTAGGAGGATAACCAATGTCTTCGAGAGCCCATGTTACCATCAAATTCAATGAGACCCTTTCATCGATCTCAATGGAAGCAACGCCACATTCATATTCCTCCGAGGTGAAAGGGAAAGAAGTTAACAATTCCCCCTGACCTCTCATCAAAATGTGTTAGCTAGTTATCTGCCTGTGCGAAATTGATCAACAACTGAATTGGATTTCCTATATAGGGTACATAAAAAATAACAAGATTCTCCCAAGGTGAGAAATAAAAGAATATACACCCAAATTTGAGAACGAACACAATGGATCTCCCCCACACATCCACTATATACGCAGTCATAAAAACAAAAAAGCATTTGCCATCAAGAAAAAGATACATTTAGAAAAACATAGAGCCTATTATTATGAGTGAGTCCCTTAAAAATTATTTTCTTAATGAAGGGGGACATTTATATAAAATAACTGGTGATCTTTTTACCAGCTAAGTGCCCAATCTAATTTTCTACTCTTGTGAGTTTGAAGAATGCATTTTCTACTATGAAATAAATTAGAGCACGCTTGTGATACCTAAAACTGTAGAAACACACTTTAGTTCGCACTATTAGATCCGTAAAATGAGCTTTCAATGGACACAGACGTTGTCGAAAACTAAAAAAACTACATTGAAACTGAACCTTCTATAAACTTTGGCAATTACATACCATTCTGTCGAGCGTATATTTTGATTTAAACACAAAGATAAGCATTTTGGGTGCTACAATAGAACAAGTAATCAAATGACGAATTCTCCCAAGAATCCCAATAGGGTTCATCTGTCAAGGGGGATGAATACACTGCATAGATGACCCTATAGAAGTATCAGTGTTATTCATTAAATAAATCGATAAAATTCGCAATTAAACTTTTTCTACTTAAGCACCCTCAGGTGAATAAGCACATAAAAAATACATTTAACCCATTTACTAGAGAACTCGCACACACAACAATCAATTACAGTTTAGCGTAATGTAGCTAAGCTGTAATACAAATCACACGATGACAAACCGTGTAACGAAACATTTGCAAAATACAGCAAGCACGATGTGGTAACTTACAATCAATTTTTTCTCCCATAGCACAAGAGAAAGAGCAATCAAGAACATGATAAATCCATGTCCGGCATCGCCAAACATTACAGCAAAGAGAAAGGGGAAGGTGACGACTGAGAAGAGTGCCGGATTGACCTCCCGGTACCTAGCCACTCCATAGGAATCAACCATTGCTTGAAAGGCAGCAGTCAATTTGTTCGTTCTATGGAAGGTTGGAGGTTGCTCCGTTGGGGGTAAACGATTCAAAATCGGTTGAAGGGTTGAATTGGACAATTCCATGCCGCGTCGAAGAGCCATTTTAACAGCATCAAGGTCAGAAACAGCGGACCAACATTCACCAATCATACACTTGGTAGTGACGTCGAGGTTGAAGAGGTTCAATGAGTGGTAAACGGCTTTCATCTTGTAGACCTTGTAGAACCATTCACGAAGTCGATCCGCGGCTGATTCAAGAACTCGAGCACGATGTTCGATAGTACGATTGAGAACCATTTGAAGATCTTCACGACGGCTTGTAACATCGAGAAGCATGGCTTGACGCTTTTCATGAGTGTCAGGACATGCATAAATCGTCGCATGGTAACTAGAATATTAAAAAGAAAATTACAAAAAAAGACGATAGGATTGAGGAAATAACAGACAACAATAATGGTTACCGATGTTCTATTTTGAATAAGGGTTGGTAAGACGTCATCTACCCAAATTCCATGAAGCCTTAATTAGTTTAATAACAATAATTAGATTCTGACGACAAAGCAATCAGCATGTACATCTGTCAAGCTAGAATCTGCGAGATTGATTCTCAATAGTGCAAAGCCAACGATGTGGATGACCAATCGCTCTGATAAATTTTAGTCGGAGGTGGAAGAATGTGAATTTGTAAAAGCAACGTCCCTTATCTAGTGTTATTAGCACTTCACGAGGTGTTGTTAGGAAATTTGGTCTTCAAATAAAGCATTCATCTTTCTTCAATTATATCTACCCACCAACTTAAAAAGCATGAAATGATACTAAGTTTTAATTGAAAGTTATATTTGATCCATGTCATCGTAATGTACCCGGATAAGAATCTTTTGGGTATTTGGAACTCCTAATTTAGCAACCCTAGAGATAAGCCTTTATACACTTCAGGATTATTGTTAAAAGGCTATCGATATCGCCACAAATGGAAATTTTAATCACACAAATGCGTCATAACTCCATTCAGCACTATCGCAGAGAACTTCACAGAAATGAATAAACCAAAAGTTTCTCATTCAAATGCTAAAAGACTACTAAACAATGGAAACTGTCGGCATAGAGAATGAAAATAAATTCCTCCATGCAAGCAGAGTTGCCAAAGTGTGAAGAAACACAGGGCTAATTAAAATGCTACAACATAAGTAAGAGGATGAAAGATCAAAAATTGTAGACTGCCCCCCCCCCCCCAACCCACCCCAATAAACAATGAAAAATAATATTGCAGAAATAATTTAGCATACCCTTCACACACCTTCTCCGCGCGAGAACGAAGCTGCTCACCTTGGAAGAAGATTAGAAACATGCATTTGTCAAGTTTTTGGCCCTACAAATATTGGATTAATGAAAATTGGTCTTGATGGAAGTAAATGTCGAAAGAGTTATCACTGCACATACAGTTATGGGATCTTCAATTGGCTCTAAATCAGCAAATCTAAGATAGACGTTTCCGTGGGAGACGCGCCAAAGTATTCTCTCAAAGCTCAAACACCGATCACGAGGAATTGTTCCAGCAATGAAGCTGAGTGAAAAAAAAGATGACATGCAATAAGAATTCGGAACTTGAACATACTGCTGAGGTTATGAAGAACACAGATGAGAAGAAAAAACTACACAACAAGGGAGCAGGGATCTATATAATTACTCACTCAATATGATGACTGCGATACGTAGTAGAGCTAAGACCACCAGATTGACGAAAACCAACGTCGAAGTCATCCGAAGGCAGCAATTCAATGTAGCTAGAAAACCCGTCATCAAAAAGAAGGGAACAAAGAAGGAGTGTGAAAACAATGAGGAGGGCATGAGACAAGCGAGCAAGAGAGCAGAGAGCGAATAGAAGTGGGATCGATATAATAGGTAGCATAATATAGCAAGCAGATTAGATTGACCGCACACAAAATTAGCAAAGTTGTTAAAACTACTAAAAAGCCAAAATTTTTCCTTACCCATGAGATTCCCGTACCTCCGGGACCTCAACCAGCACATCTTCAGCTCCTGTTAGACTTGCATTAACTTCCAACGTGTTCTAGAAGCAAGATTAGCTTATTAAAACATGTCATTTACATGTTCCAGCATAAGCTGGGTCAAGCGTAAGACCATTTTGAGCTCGGTCAACTCCATATAAGATTTTTGTAACTGCTCCGCATTGTAAGTAACCTCTCGTAATTCGTGATCCAATTTGTCGAGAGTTGTTTCAAGATCTAACATTTCTCGTGGTGGAGGTGCTTCAGGGACTTCATCGGGTTCAAAGATCGACATATTATCTTTCACAATTTCGCCCTCGATGTAACCTAAAAGAATCCCCTAGACTATATATGGTACACTCACGTAATTTGCGTTCCATTTCGTCACATCTACGAACTTCGTCAACAAATTTACGCTGGAAGGCGTTAACATCAGGTGTTGCCTAGTGATATTATTAGGACATTTGAGCTTACATCACGAATTTGAACAATGCCCAGTTCTCCCAATTGGGCAATGCAATTATAAGCGGAATCGGTGTGTAATATGAGCTGCGAGAGCTGCATATCTTCTGACCGAAATATCGATCCCATATTTGGCCAGAATCAAAGCGAAAAATTATTGGAACGCTGTGGTGTTATAGGCTTGTCGAAGCTGGCGCCTTATAAAAATGTTCATAAAACTACACATAAATATTGATACCCAAATATTTTTCCCGAAGACTAGAATACGCTGACAAAATTGGCATTTGCAAATAATTTTGATGTTTTTATCAATAAATTATTTAAATTAATATTAATTTTAGTTGTTACATTTCAAATTGATCAAACTTAATAGAATCCATTTGAAAAATTGTCAAATTTCAAAACTGTGCTTTGCCTTCTAAAAATATACAATAGTGTTTAAAAATGCATTTTCTTCTTCATATAATATTGTCCAACCATGTGTAATAATATTTATTTATTTATGTCAAATGGCAGGTGTTTTCATAGTTATCATTAACCCATTAGCTGACTTTCGGCTTCACAGAAGGGAGGGACATCCAAGTGGGAAAATTCGAGAGGGGGAACAGAAGATAGCTTCGCAGATGTTACACGTAGTGTTCCTGAAGGGTTTAATGAAACAGTATTTACATGTGGTTAAATTTTGTCAGGTAGAGCTTTCCCCATCTAAGGTGTAGTATATTCGTAATCATGTTGTTTCCCACCTATGTATATATGTATACCTATACATATAGAACGGTAAAGTGATGTATTTTGAGCTCTAAAGCCTGATGTAAAGAACAATTAGTCGTATATTTGTATTTATAAATAAACTAATTTCTTGTTAGCGTCAATTATTTTGAAATATACAAGGTCGAGTTACGTGACCTTCTTAGCAATTATTCCTCTTGACGGTCAACTTAAATTTATACAAAAACCTATATACGGAGTTTATGGTAGTGCTTAAATTGATTGCATCTCCAAGTCCCGACTCTTCCTTAGGACCTGACAACAATTTTAGTAAAGATCGCCACGGAAATGTGGAATATCATGAGCATTTTTAACACATATCGATCATTTTTGTTTGTTCTTTCTTCTGATTATTGGCCTATTTCTGTCTCAGACCTTCAGATATGAATGAACTGGATTCGAAATCGCACACACTATTTTCACTATCTCTGTTAACAATTTTGCCATAATTTGCTAATTTTCTAGGTTGACCTTAACATTGAAAGTCATATTCCAATTTGGAAACTGAATCTAATTGATTGAGCTATTAGTGAAAATCTGCGTAAAAATTATAAGGAGTTTAGTATCTTGTTATTTTGTCCATTGATATTGTTAGGATAAGCGCAGGAATGAAGACATGGGGGTAATTTCGGGTCCATTAATATTTGGGAAGGTTATCCTTTGCCTTGTAGATATGAACTCATTCCATAAACCCTCAGAACTTACTAGTCTTCTTCGAGGAAAACACATACTGTTGGAATCTTTGAGTGGAAACAACAAAAATGTTATCATGTGACTATTAACAATCTGAGATATGCAAGCTGTGAAAATAATATAATCGATTTCCGATTTTTTAATTGCATTATGACAAACTTCTCAAGCATTTACTCAATTCATTAAAATAGATCTAAATTCATGTCTTTGCGTCAGAGAAATTAAGATTGCCGTGTAAGAGAATAAACTAAGAAATTAGCATTTTCAAATTAAAGAAAGAGAAAGATAAGGAAAATTGGGAACAAAATTGCAGAAATTTTTAGCTAAGCTATTTAGCAGATGCTACACAGGGGATAGACTTGTGGCATCGTAGAATCAAATACGACCTTTAGGAGAGGATTTTGAATAGCACAAGAAACGCCTTTTCGCTAAAAAGGACACGAAAATATAATGCAACAACATGTTCACGTTGTTGACGCCGATGAGGTTGACGTTCTATACGAAGGTCTTTTCCCTTCAGAAGGAAGCCGATTTGTGCACTTCCAAGCATGAGAGGCTATTTACTCTAATTCAGCTGTAGTTTTACTTGCCCATTGTCGATATTTTCATATGCGTTTTACTTAACTAGTTTAAGTAGTAGCGATATAACAAAGTCTATAACCATATATTTAAACTGTAAGAAAATGAAAAGTAGGATATTGGAACCCTTGATTCCCATATAACTGAAAGACAAAAAAATTTACAAAAACAAGAAGAATTATCAAAAGGACAAAGCTAAATAGACTGCTATTAAAGAACTTTTTATCACCTTAAGTGCAGAAAAAGTTAGGTCGAGCTATGTTTGGCGAAAACATTGGGGTTTGGACACTTAACCCCATGTAAGTTCGTTTATTATTTATTATTAGCTCTTAATTCGCATGCACTGATATCGAGTTTGCTCAAGATAAAGCGAAATGACAGTTCAAATACAAACGTAAAAGTCTTTTAATGGACTTTGTAATTACTGTTGTCCATTTTCCAAAATATGCAGATTTAACTTTTTTGGCCACTATTATTCCTGGTTTTCACCCAGGAGGCCCGGGTTCAACTCCCGGTCAGGGAGCGACGTTTGGAGTGTGCGATAGACTTACCTCCACGTGGAGCACCCTGGGCAACGTATACACATACGGCAAAAAAGTCTATTAACTGGCAGTTGACTTCTCACTTCAAACTACCATCACC